CTTGATTGGAAGTTGTCATGCTGTAATTAATTATTATACCTGCCTGGGTGGAAAGTTGTCATGCTGTAATTAATTATTATGCCTGTCTGGGTTGGAAGTTGTCATGCTGTAATTAATTATTATACCTGTCTGAGTTGGAAGTTGTCATGCTGTAATTAATTATTATACCTGCCTTGATTGGAAGTTGTCATACTGTAATTAATTACCAATCAAGGCAGGTATAATAATTAATTACAGCATGACAACTTCCAATCAAGGCAGGTATAAAAGTTGTCATGCTGTAATTAATTATTATACCTGCCTGGGTGGAAAGTTGTCATGCTGTAATTAATTATTATACCTGCCTTGGTTGGGAGTTGTCTGAGTGTTTTAAGTACTAGACAAGCAAAAGTACCCATTCCCAGTGATGGAAAAAGTTTAAGTTAATCCATCAATTTAAATTATTTTATGGACTTTAAAAAGGTTAATTGTGTTGCATTCTTGGTTTCACTTGGAGCCAAAGCTGTGAACTACTTATACCACCTACCGCAAAAAGTTGAGCATTTAAGTCATGTTAAGAGCCGTTCAACAATAACATACAGTAAATCTACATTTTTATTCTTTAAGCTACATAACATTTTGAAATGTGAAATATAGTATGATTAATTCCTAACAATTTAGTGTAGAATATCCTGCTTACGAAATAAAATTTGGCATCAACATTATTCATGCCTGTTCTCTCGTCATTTCAAAAGTGAATGTTGAGCTTTTCAAATGCAGTGCAGGAAGCAGATGCTGTAAACGGGAGACAAACATTCAGACAGACACCACGGTTCACAATATATATAAGATTGTTATAACTGAAACACTCGGACAGACACCACGGCTCACAATATATATAAGATTGTTGTAACTGAAACACTCGGACAGACACCACGGTTCACAATATATATACAAGATTGTTGTAACTGAAACACTCAGACAGACACCACGGTTCACAGTATATATATATAAGATTGTTGTAACTGAAACACTCAAACAGACACCACAGTTCACAATATATATATATATATATAAGATTGTTGTAACTGAAACACTCGGACAGACACCACGGTTCACAATATATATATATATGTAAGATTGTTGTAACGGAAACACTCGGACAGACACCACGGTTCACAATATATATATAAGATTGTTGTAACTGAAACACTCGGACAGACACCACGGTTAACAATATATATATATAAGTTGTTGTAACTGAAACACTCGGACAGACACCACGGTTCACAGTATATATATAAGATTGTTGTAACTGAAACATATAGAATCTCCTGAATGAATATTAAAAGTTTGTTTTCATTAAAACTATATTTTACTTGTTATTTTCTCTTCCCTAATAGTAACAGTAACAACATCATTAATGTTGGGTAAAATAAAAATTAAGACTACAAAATTTAAACTACCTTTTTTTTCTTTCTAGAATGACCATATTTTAACGGACAGTTATACCCTATTAATTCTTACAGTTAAAGCTAATAGACTATACGAATCTGGCTTCATTTAGTTTTCTTGCTGTATAGCTGTACTTAGACTCTGTGCTAACTCCATTTATCAACAAGATTTTGTAAACAAACGATTGAATTACAGTCACATTGTGTGCAGTGCTCATGCTAGGATATGAGTATCACAGGAAGTTGGTTTTTACATAAGATCTCCTATTTAACATAGTAAGTTTCTAATTTTTAAATTTTAGTAACTTTTTTGATGATAAATAAAAAATATACATAGAAAACCAGGAATTTGATAAGTCTGGATTATTTTAGCTATTGGAAAGAAGTAATGTAAGATTAATTTTTGTAATGATGGTGGTATTAAATAAAAATATTTATTTTTAAATGTGTAAGCTAGAACATAAAATATTATGAGTACAAAAATTTAGAATGTCTTGAAACTACCGTAATTTAACTAGTTTTCTAACTAATCTGTAAGTGGGTTAAAAATCTTGTCAGCTGGTTGAGCCAAACTCCAACAATGTCAGACAATGAAAAGAGAGGCTGAATTTTTCAAAACCTGTCTTCTGAATGAGATAGCCTCATAGAATTTCAGAAAACTAGAATTTTCTCTATCTGTTGGTTATAAATAATCAGATAGCAAATGTCAAAAAAATTATTACATTTTTTTTTAAAGACAGGCTATGATAGGAGGAGCGTGGCATGTGGTTTTGAGTATCATGTTTCTATCTGTAAAGCAAGAAGCTGTGAGGCTATAAGTTGACATTATTATTTAGCAATATATATATATATATATATGTGTGTGTGTGTGTGTGATTTGTGCCAGACTTGAAG